GGGGGGCTGGGAGAGAGCACCCCCCTGAAATGATGGCAGATAGCACAGGAAGCAATAGCTTCTTTGCTATCTGCAGACTTTTTTTTTTTTTTTTAGTATTCTGCCAGTTGCAGTTGTCAGAATAATTAAAAAAAAAGGCATAAGAATGCTTAGCTAGATTCCTATTGGCTATTTCACTTTGCAATAGCCTATAGCAAACTAGCTATTGCACCCGCCCCCTGCTGCTTTCAATCACCAGAAGAGGACCTGATAGAAAAATTCAGGTCCCCCTCTGCCTCACCGGTCCATTGGGTAACTAATGGAAGGGGGAGGAGTCCAGTGACGTCACGGACATCGACGGAAGACCCGGAAGCCGGCGGAGAGGTGAGTACGGATCAAAAGGACTTTGATCGATCAAAATAATTTTGATCGATCAAAAGAATTAACGATTAATCGAGGGATTAATCGTTAATTTCCGCAGCCCTAGAACATATCTGTATGGTGATTTGTAATCCCAGGAGTAATTTTGTAATGGTTTCGAAAATCGCAAGGTTTCTCTCACAGCTTATGCGAACTAGCACCAGCCAACGGGGTTCGGATGTTTCCCCCTATATGGAATGACCCGTGGGTTTCCCTTGCAAGTGCGGCCGCACAATGAAATGGGGACGGGTAGAGTTCCAGAGATGGTATGTGCGGGGAGCACTGGATCAGAGGTCTGACTGCTGCCGGATGGTATACGCAAGCAAGCTCTATTCAGTCCAGGCTCATGATCGGTGGTCTTGCTGCTGCTATGGTGTACACACAAGCCCTGCTCGATCCAATCAGTGTAGCAGAGGTTCGCCAACCCAACGGTATACAGGCAGTAGGTCCAGGGTATCAAGGGAAGCCAATAACACGCTATCCCTAACGCGTTTGCCTCCCAGCAAATGGGGTTTCCTCAGAGGGGCGTGTAACATTCATCATGCACAAGTGATTTATATAGCTCGATGAGATCCAGATTTCTCTTGACGTGATTTCTGAGCCGCTATTCGATGCTATAGAGGCACATATGAAGCCTTAATCATATTCCCCAGGTCTGTCATCATTAGTTACATTTGTCTAATATCAAAAGGCCCGAAACAGAACATTATATAAATCATAGAATAATGTTAATTCTAACATAATTCGTTAGTGCACTGTTCAAAGGAACAGAGCGCAACAACGAACACGCAAGAGGTAAATTTATAAAGGAGCACTCTAACAGAAGTCTCCCCAATGTCGGTACAGACAGTACCATCAGCACAATACATGATCCAGAACAGTGTAAAATCCTCAATATCCTCTGCATGATTCAAAATTAATAATCAGACAGATATCATATTGATCAAATGATAATTATAACTAAAGTTCAGATCCTGGGATGGTAAGTATACAATTTGAAGAAGAAGCATTATGTTTGACAGGCAACCAGGTCAGGTTAACAACAATTGATCGTGTCGTTTAACCCGGGTGCTTCATGGGACTCAGTCTGGTGAATCCACCTACATTCTCTTTGTAAGAGGTGTTTGTCCCAGTCTCCCCCCCGCCTGTTTATGGACTCTGTCCAATGCAAAGAAACAAAGTCTGTCGGTTTGTCCATTATGTGCATTAACGAAGTGCCTTACTATAGGTGATCTTAAATCTCGGGCTGCTATATCCGCCAGATGATCCGAGATCCTGTTCTTGAGCGTACGTTTTGTCTTACCGACATAAAACATTTCACATTTGCAGAGCATCAAATAAATCACCTCCTTTGTCTCGCAGTTCGCAAAATGGCGAGCCCTGAATCTTTTCCCTCGAGGGGTGGTTATTTCCGCTCCAGTTTGGACAAACCGACAGAATTTGCACCTCTGACATTGGAAAGTGCCCTGATACTTACAGCAGGTCCCACTGTTATTGACAAACTCCCTATTCGTGAGTTTGTCTTTTAGAGAAGGACAGCGACGGTAGGTGATCGTAGGTTTTTTGCAAAGGAACTTCGAAATTCTAAAATTAGAGGATGTCCTCACCTTTCTCCCAGGTTCTGTCCATAGTGCTTAGGTGAGGCTGACATCATCCTTCTGCCTGTAGAGATCTGGGGAATGTAGAGTAGCCCAAATCTCAGAGAAGACACCCCCGGCACTGTGCTACAGAGTCTTCTCCCCAGATTTGGGGTACTCAGCACTCTCTGGGATCTCTCCTATGAGAGGATGACGTTACCCCCTGCACTACGGGAGCTGGAGGGAAGGGGGTATAATAACTTTTTCCTATAGGTGTCTTCTAAGTGTTTTTCTGTGTTTCGGGAGGAAGAGGGGTGCACACCTAAAAAGTGGAGTGCGAGGTTCGACCATGAGCTTATAGCAGAACTGTAAATGCCACCGACGTAAGACATACTGAGCTGGCCAGCCGGGAACACTTTTGTTCCGCCGTATGCCTTACGTCGGTGGCAGTGAAAGGGTTAAAGTGATGCTATAGTCTACATATCTATAAAAACTAATGTACTAAACATTTTCTCTTCTTCCAACAGAGTTGATGGCCAGGCACTGCGCCCATCCAACAAAAACATTCAGGTTTTCCAATTTGCCACGCTAAGAAGTTCTTGTGAAGACTTCGGTCTTGTGTATGTCATCTTATTGTCTTCATATTACATTTTTCTTCTTCTTATTCCAATAAATTCCATAAAATATACTTTATGTTTGTTTCGATTTATCGATCTGAATCCTCTCTCTCTCAACCTCTCCGTCCCTCCCTCTCTCAACCTCTCCGTCCCTCCATCAATATTGTTTTTGTTTAAATCAATGAACAGTGACAGATAAATTGCAAAGATACGATTAGGGATTAGGAAAAAAAAAAAACAGGTTGTACATGATCTCCTTTTTAATACTGTACAAATACAAAAAGATTTTCCCAGCCGGGCAGATGTAGGAAAGTGAATTTATATTTACAGAGAACGGCCAGAACTTTACATACAGTAAAATACAACAGTAAACAGTCTCTTCCTGAACTCTGCGGATCGCACTGAATTCGGAGTTGGGAAACAAAGTATAAAATCCCATCATATCATTCGCCACCAACCTCGGCTGGACCAGAATAATTGTATTACAATACAACCAGGCTTCATCTCAGCGGCCTCTGGGACGCACTGGGAAACCAAACACCTAAAGTCCTTTTAACCTTTTTACTGCAACCTGCTGGATGAACATGTCCTAAAAACAGAATATTTTCAGGCCACGGGAGCTCCACATCAAACACTATAGAAAAAGTATTTAAGGACAACTGCATCCAAAACTAAATATTTTTGCTTTTGCCTGGGAGCTAGACAAGATCGGTCATATGCTGGCTTCTGGCCAGAAGTGAAATCTCCAAACCAGAATCCCCAGTTGCACCCAAATTGTGCAGCAGGTACAAATCCAAATGGTAGGGTCACTCTTTATGTACTCCCCCTATAATGTAATATACATTTGAGGTTCCAGTTCTGGGAGAGATCCAACCGTTAGGGATTTGAACAAGCGGTACGGGCACAAATGGCTGGGGGGAACTATCAATGACTCCTAAAATGAGAAGAGGACTAACCTACTTGGCCCCAATAAAAGATGATAGCTTGCTTCCACTTAATGGAGTTGCCTTTATTAAACCCATAGTCTTTTGCCTTTAGAGGGAGTTCTTGTAAACGGAGGAAACGCCTTAGTCATCAACGTCTTCGGCTTGGCCGGTCCAGCGCTGGCACCGCTACCCCTCAGACACCAGAATAAGAAAGTGCCAGTAGTCACCACATGCTGCAGAGACCTTTAAAAACAGCAGACAAGAGCCAGCCAATCGGATCGTCCGAGATCCCTTCGGATCACAAAGTGCTTTCTAGAGTGTTATATTTGTCCTTAAAACTTTTCAGCTCCAGGAAGTGCTTGGCCCTCTTGCTCTTCTGGCTAGACGGCAGGTAGGTGACCTGGCTGGTGGGAGATGACGAAGGTTCCAGAGAGGCGGTGAGGTCCTTGGCGGCGGACTGACGCTGCCTTTGGCTTCCCAACACCCTGGTCTTCTCCCTGAGGAAGGAAGAGATACGTCAAAGTAAATGAACTTCCCAAGGCAGCTGGAAAAGGCCAATAAGGGAACACTTGTGGTTGAACAACTTACAAGGTTGATAACTCGCTCAGGGCCTCCATGAACTTTTCGTGTTCTGCTTTTCCGTACACCTTAAAGAAAACAAAAAACAAATTATATCAGTCAGGGTCAGTCAAGTCAAAAGGTTTGTGGTCAGAGATGTGCTGCTGGGTTTAAAATTGTGTTCGTGTCTCAGTTGGGGAGATTTCACCTCACTTCCTGCCTCATTGACCACAGAGGAGATCTCCCCAATGAGGACAGGAGCAAAACCTAAAGCTGAACTGCGGGAGAAGCAAATATTGGGTAGCAAACATTCGCATCAGCAGTGGCCCAAACATTCACCCGCTAGAACTTAGAAAACGTGTGAACAGAAGTCCAGATGGTAGCCCTACAAATCTGCAACACAGATGATTGATGCCTAAAAGCCCAAGAAGCACTGACAGATCAAGGCAAAGGCCAGGGTCCAACCCAAAAAGGCAAAGGCCGGGGTCCAACCCAAAAAGGCAAAGGCCGGGGTCCAACCCAAAAAGGCAAAGGCCAGGGTCCAACCCAAAAGGGAAAGGCCAGGGTCCAACCCAAAGGGAAAGGCCAGGGTCCAACCTTTGGGTTAGTGAGCATACACAATGACCTGTCTAAACAACCAGGTAAATGGTGGAATACGATGCAGGGAGCTCCCTGTGAGGACCTCCAGGAAGCTGTAACCAAAAGGTTAAATACTGACAGCCCAAACCACATCCAGTGTAGAGCCACTTCCTTGTGATCTTTTGTAGCTGGACAAAAAGGAAGGCAAAAGTATGTCCTCTTTAAGATGGAAAGAGGACAACACCTAAGGACTCCTTAGGTCCGAGACTGACCTCATCACTGTGAAGAACAAGGAATGGGGCTCTGCACGAAAGCGCAGCCAGTTCCGAAACCCTACTAGCAAAGGTGATGGTGACAAAGAAAACTAACTTGCGCTTAAGATCCAGTAACAAGAAATTAGGTTCAGAAGGAACTCATTGGACACATGAAAGCATCATGTTGAGGTTTCACAGCGTCATTTCGATCCCAAAGCAGGTTTTGTGGAAGGGACATAGAGTGCTTTTTACCACCCATAACCTTGTTAATGAAGGCCTCCAGGCCTTCTCCAGACTCTTTTCCACAAAGGGGCTCCTCTCTAGGCCCCTCTTGCATGTTGGTTCGCTCAACCAACACTTAAGTCAGAGGATCCTTCACATCTTCACTGAAAGATATTCTAGGGCAGTGGTTCTCAACTCGTGGGTCGCGACACTCTCTGCAGTGGGTCGCGGCGTCATGTCTGAATAGACCGGCCTGAGACTGAATAGGGAGGGGGAATTCAGGGGTGGTTTGGAACTGTACCCCGCAACTGCCACCCCCACACGTTTTTATTTAAATTTTTTTTAAATATTTAACTTTTATTCTTTATAATTTTTTTATTTTTTTTAAAATTCATTTACTTTCAGTTCTTTACTAATATATATATATATATAATGTTGCTGAATACTGCACAAGTTGTTTTGTGTAATAAATTTAAATGTTTCAGAAATGAAATCATTTTTGGGTCACGCCTTAATGACCAAGGAAACATGTGGGTCCTGAGGTTACACGGGTTGAGAACCACTGTTCTAGTGTGTCAGCCAGCCTATTTACACAGAAGCATAGTCCCCTGTCAACTCCAAGTGTCCAAGAAGCTCTGCTTTCGCCAGGATAGAACTAGGATCACGCGCCATCAATTGTGTCCAAACTGTCAAGAGTCCAACATACTTTCATCTAAGCCACTGCCGGCTGTAGGGCCAATCAACACAGATGAAGTCTTAAAAACAGGCTTTCAAGACACTTATCAACCAGATGTTTAAAGGCCAGGATGTTATCCACCAGAACCATCAGATTCGTAAAAGGCAAGGTTTCCTCTAAGGGGCATTTTTGCCTAAACCTATGTGGGGGGAGCAAACAATTTTTCAGGATGATGGCAATCCAAGAAAAGCGCATCCTCTACTAAGTGCATGAGAGGAAGGAGACTGAAACTGACCCATGAACATAGTCACAGAAGCCTCAAAATCCTCCCTGCTCAGGGTCTGCATTGGTTGTCCTCTGAGGTCCATCCCATTGGGTTAGAGCAGGTCTGGTCTCCCGAGGGGCACGTAGTTCTGACATTCTTCTAGCTCACAGCCATGCGAGCGTTCATGGGGTTATTGTATTGGACTTAAACTTTGATCTGATAATTTGCTACTGCGTGCTGTGTATTATGACCTGCCTTGTACCAGAGATTGTTTCTCGTACCTTATCTTTCTCTGTATCATTTTGATTCATTCATAAAGTTTCTAATATTTTTTAAAAAAAACCCTCCCTGCTGAGGCAGGCGGTGATCATCGAAAGAATGTTTGGTGTGCTGGTGACGTTCCTTTTACGATGAGGTAAGCGGTAACACAGATGGGGCTACAGATGCAAACTTCAGACTATACTCCTGCACGCCTCTCAGGACATTTGCCCCATTTTAAAGATGGCTTCCACTGGCTCCTGGAACCCAGGATACACTGTGCTAAAGGATGCAGTAATATGGCTGCCATTGGGCTGCAATGCACAGGCCACAAAAAAAACCCAAAGAAGAAAAAAAAAAAAAAGGGTGGGGGAAACCCACTGCTCCTCAGCTTTGCTCTCTTCGGACAAGCACACTCCCAGGAGGAAGTCTTCAGGGATGGGGGTCACACCATTGACTTTATGCCAAAAGCGGCATTACAGGTCAGCCTTGCAACTTCAGTCCAGGGGGAACCAGGTACGGTTCTTGAAGCTGCTGCTGTGGGGCATCGATCCAGAAGCTGTAAAGTAGCCACTGTGGCTGGAGGCAGCTTGAAGATTGTGATTTGAAGAAAACACAGAACCAAAAAGGTAACTAAAACTACCACACAGGCAGAGTAGAGAGGAGACATCCTCCACCTAAGGACACTGACAAAAACTGAGGATTTCCTGGAGTGGGCGGGGTTCTATGAAGGTCCTCCCAGCTCTGCCCAGTGTCCAAACCACCTGATGATACCGGCATATTACCCAGTCATCTCTGAATTTGCCTGTGTCCTGTAATGTATAATCAAGAAAAAAAAAAAAAGTTTTTGTACCTGGCATTCAGCTTTACAAAAAAGCAAACCCCAAGTAGGTTTTCACCCTTCCCCACTCTGCTTTAGAAAAATACTTGATTAAGGTCTATGCTCTTATTGGGGAGATATTGCCAACTTCCTGTCTTGGTGGCCACACAGGAAGCAAGCGAAAATATTCCCTGCGATTTTAGAAATAGCAATAAAAAAAAAATAAAAAAAACCCAAAAAAAAAAAAAAAAAACCCCAAAAAAAATACCCAGACAAAACAATTATCCCCTTTAGGCTTATCGGAAAAAAATTCCCGGCCTTTGTACCTCAGCGACCCCCTTAGGAGGGTACCTGCTGGGGTTCATTGCCTATAGAGGGGATATGTGATGGCCTTTCCAAAGTACAGCCCAACACCTGAAAAAAAAAAGAATTCCTGGAGTTTAATTTTTAAAATCCATATACTTTTATATTCTTTCTAAACCCAATTTCTGAGGGCAGTTTGTAATGATAGAAGTACACGAAGGCGGCCATTTTGCTAATTACGTATGCAGTTTCTGCTTTCTGTTTAGTAGCGCGTCTTGGCGATGGTGTCTTACTGATCGTTATCTCGCCACAAGTCAAACAGGGTCAGACTTACTGAAACAGACTCTGTGACAATGGGGAGCACCTCTCTCACTTCCTGTCCCTCCAACACTCATACAATGAATGAGGGGAGCGCTGATCACAAGGGTAGAAAGGCACAGAAGGCAATAAAACAATCGTCTGAACTCCTGACTCCTCCCCATTCTACGACAAATGGACTTTTAGCTTTTGTCTGTGGCCCCAATGGAGAGATTTCCCATCACTTCCTGTCTTTGCAAAACCCATACAATAAATGAGGGGAGCGCTGATCACAAGGGTAGAAAGGCACAGACAGTGATAAAACCATCGTCTAAATCCCCAACTCCTCCCCATTCGACTAAAAATTGACTTTTAGCTTTTGTCTGTGATCCCAATGGAGAGATTTCCGATCACTTCCTGTCCCTGCAACACCCTTACAAGAAATACGAGAAGTAGTAATTACCAAGATAGGAGGGCATAGAGAGAGATAAAAACATCATCTGAAGAACTAACCCCTCCTTATTCTACTAAAAAAAAAGTTTTAGCTTTTTTTTTTTTATTCTTTAATTTTGAATGTTCAGATATAATAGACAATAAGTACAAAAACATGTATAACAATCTATGCCGTATTCCACTTAATTACATTAACAGGTATATAAATCGAGTAAGCGTATCTCGGTTTCTGGAATCAGTAGGAAGCATGAGAGAAGATTGTCAGTTTAATAGGTGCCTATCTACTAGCAAGGGTCCATGGGCCCTACTATGCAGGACAGTGATTCTGCAAACACACTGCTCAGGTTTAGTATACGGTCTCACAGTGCAACTCTGGCAATCATTCAAAGTTTTAGCTTTTGTCTGTGACCCCACTGAAGAGATTTCTGATCACTTCCTCTTCCTGCAACCCCTGAAGAAATTGGGGGGGGGGGGGGGGGGGGGGTGACACACAGGAGAATTTTTTTGGGGGGGGGGGGGGGAGCAGTTATCACCAGGATAGAAAGGCATAGACAATGGTAAAGCCATCGTCTGAAGTTCTAACTCCTTCCCATTCTACTAAAAATTGTTTTAGCTTTCGTCTGTGACCCCACTTGAGAAATTTCCCATCACTTCCTGTCCAAACAGGAAGCAAAATTCTCCCTCAAAAGGGGCACAGATGGTAATAAATGCCTGAGACGCAAAAGTAATTTGCTGATTTAGCGTACAAAGCTAAAATATAAAAGACAGAAGGACAGGGCGTTTTTTTTTGGGTGTGTGCAGCACGCCCAGTGTCCACGACTGGTACAAAAGAATGGGAAGAAATAAGTGGCCATCCTTACCCCTGTGCCGTAGCGGGCCGAGTCATATCCGTCCAGCAGGGTGTCCAGTAGGGGTTTGGGAACGGCCTTGTAGGGTGAGCTGGCGTTTCTCAGCTCCAACAGGAACGATCGGAAATTTTTTCCTACCAGGGATTTGGGATACTTTGTGTTCTCCTGGAAGGGAATGCCTGATGGGAAAATCCAAACATGTCACAAGATTGCAATACACCCGAAAGAGAATACCCCCGTCCCCCAAATTATAATTTTAAAAAAAAATTGTTAGCCACTCCCCTTTCTTTGCATTTCAATAGCGAATAGAGGCACAAACACCACCCATGGACCCGCAGTGATCTCACAGCCGGGAAAGCACAGACACCAATCATTCTGGGCGGTGTGGTTAGGAAGATCATTTAACCTGCATTTAGCATCCTTCCAACTTTAGGAACTGAGGCGCCATTTGTAAAGTTGACCTTATCTCAAAAAGTGAAGATTTGTTAGAATGTTAATTGTTCATAAGGATTGCCCCGAAAGATTTACCTTTTGTCTTAAAATCCTCTGGAAAAATATGAGTGCAATTAATGTTCTGGACCTTCGAGATGTACATCAGCAGCGCAAGATCATCTAAGGCAGGGGTAGCCAAACTCTGGCCCTCCAGCTGTGGTGGAACTACAAATCCCATGAGGCATTGCAAGATTCTCAAAGCCACAGACATGACTCCCGGAGAGATGCATCATGGGATTTATAGTTCCACCACAGCTGGAGGGTCGGAGTTTGGCTACCCCTGATATAAGGCATTGCTGACTCTGGACTGCTAGTCTCACCAGATCTGGAGATGCTGTGCCGCCCACGGTTCTTGCTGGAGAGGACAATGTACCCGAGAACCTGCAGTTGAAGGATCTCCATGCTTCCAAGCCCGATACCAAGCCTCTCAGGAGATTTGGTGATGTCACTGCTGTGCTGCTCACTGTTTTTGTTACTGGAGAGGACAATGTAACCGAGAACATGCAGTCGAAGGGTCTCCCTGCTTCCAAGCCTGGTAGTCTCAGGAGATATGGATTGAGATTTGGTGATGTCACTACTGTGCTGCTCAGCTTTCCTCGCCAGAGAGCAAGCTGTACCTGAGGACCTGCAATGCAATGATCTCCCTGTCTCTACTTCATCCATTATGCGGATCTGCGTTTGCTCCACCTCTCATTACCCCGGCAGTCATCGTGGGGGCAACCCCATCATGTGGAAGCAAAGCCCTGCCTCTACCAAGATGGCTGCCTCCACACAGTGCAGAACAATGCATGGCAAGTCAGTTAGAGCTGCAGCTAGCGATTATTTTCAAAACCGGTTAGCCAATTATTAAAGTTCGATTAATCAGTTAAAAAATAAAATACATTTTTAAAAATGGCTCCAGTGATGGGACTACTAGTTTATATTGAGATTGCAGTCCATCACTCTTCTCCCCGCGTCCCTGTGCCGATTGTGGATGTGGGCGGGCAGTGAGCGTGAGGCGGGGAGGAGGTGTGGAGCGTGGATGCGATCGGGTCTGGCAGCGGCGAGCGTGAGGTTGGGAGGAAGTGCGGCGCGCAGCGTGTGGAGCCATGAACAGGGACAACTAATCGGAAGCCGATTAAAATCGATGATTGAAAACATTGACAACTTTTTCAATAATCGATTTAGTCGATTAGTTGTTGCAGCCCTACAGTCAGTAATGGGGAAATTAACAGCTGCAGGGAGCCTATAGGCTATATTAAAGACTGTTTTTTTGGCACAGCTTCCACCAGACAGGTCCTCTTTCACAGGTCAACTTTCACAGACATCGACCATTGTCCTAATCTGACAATAAAGAACTGTTTCTGTTTAGTCCGATTACTAATCTCTGATCTGACCTTGGCACAAGAACACAGACGATGATCCAGAAAGGTCAAAATTGTCCACACAATGATAATTCCTGGCCATGCACAGGTATCCTAAAGAGGACCTGTCATGATAGGGATATAAAAGCTCTTAATGTAGATGTCTTTCTTTACATGGTCATCTCACACAATGATAAACTAGCAATCAAAGATTCAATTGCTTTAAATGAGCTTAAAGGAAAAGGTTGAAAAATCAACCGAGCCAATCAGGGCGGGTGCTTTTTTTTTGGATAAAACGATTGCACCATTGAACGCTAGTTCCATTGAACAAGATTTATGGTCGGTGCAATCTCTGGGGGGCCATCATCCTCATCCTCACTAACCACAGAGTAACTCTGGCTATTTCTATTCTGTAGTTATAATACATTCTGCAATAACATTTCTGAACAGAGTGGGCAACCTCAGCACTCCATCTGTTGTAAAAAAAAAAATCCCATGAGTCATTGCATGGCTGACCCCCAGAAGCATAATGGGGATTGGTAGTTCCAGCCACAGCTGGAGTGCAGAGATGAAACCCTAAAACAGGGGTAGACAATTACACTTTAAGCCCTCGTTCACACCTGAACGTTTTGTAGCGCGTTCTACGCTCGACAAAACGCTCAAAAATATGAATCCCATTGTATTCAATGGTCTCGTTCCCACCTTGGCGTATTTCCGCCTGTCCCCAACGGGCTACAAAACGGCCCATGCCTGAAAAGATACAGGTACTACTTTGGGCCGTTTTGTTGCGCGTTTCCATTGGGATACAGCCAAGTAGCCTTCGGAAACGCGTGTTTGTCGCGCGACTTTTTACCGCGAATCGCGGTACACAGACGCGCATATGCAATACGCGTGCACGAGACCTAAGGCCTTAGGAGAGTAAAAAGTACAAATTCGTTCACCGTATTTAAATGGCCGCCATGGTGCTGAGTACATTGCGGCAAGTCCCAAAGGGGCATATAACGACTCAGGAAACCATTGCCCATCGATCGGCGGCTTTACAAAGCCCGAAGATGGGATGCAAGCTTACCTGAATCTTTTACAGCATCCAGAGTTTTCATCCTGTACAGATAGTTGTAGCAGCCTGAAAGATAAAAGCCAAAATGAACTCAGAGATTGCAAAGCAAAAAAGAAAAAGTAACCAGAGAAGGCAAAATATAAGCAGACTCAACTTTAAGCTTCACAGTCAACCCTGCATGAGCAAAGCAGATTCAGTTTAGGGTTCACCTATAAAAGTTCACGTGGCACTAGCGCCCCCTAGAGGGCAATGACAATTATAGGAATTTCCTATACTCGTGATATACATGAACCACTTTATATTGTAGTATAAAGCTTTTATTTTTGCAGTTTAGCACAGCGACATCGTCTCCTGATCTCACTTGTTTCCGCACCGGGTGTATCCAGCTGAAGCAAGCGGTCGTCTCCCTCTTCCAGAAGCTGTGGCTCGAACTTGATGTCCTGCACTTTGGAGAGGCGGTTATCGATCTCTTCCTTCAATTCCTGTCACAGAGAAAAGACAAGTGACTACTGTGTATGGATCAGAGGGTACAGCTCATAACCAAAGCAGAAGATACACTATATTGTCAAAAGTATTGGGACGCCGGTCTTTACACACACATGAACTTTAATGACATTCCAGTATTAGTCCGTAGGGTTCAATATTGAGTTGGCTCCTCCCTTTGCCGCTATAACAGCTTCAACTCTTCTGGGAAGGCGTCCACGAGGTTTAGGAGTGTGTCTATGTGAATGTTTCACCATTTGTGAGGTCAGGTACTGATGTTGGACGAGAAAGTCGGGCTCGCAGTATCCGCACTAATTCATCCCAAAGGTGTTCTATCGGGTTGAGGTCAGGACTCTGTGCAGTCAAGTTCCTCCACCCCAAACTCCGCCATCCATGTCTTTATGGACCTTGCTTTGTGCACTGGTGCGCAGTCATTTTGGAACAGGAAGGGGCCATCCCCAAACTGTCCCCACAAGGTTGGGAGCATGAAATTGTCCAAAATGTCTTGGTATGCTGATGCCTTAAGAGTTCCCTTCACTGGAACCAAGCCCAACCGCTGAAAATCATCCCCCCTCCACCAAACTTTACACTTGGCACAATGCAGCCAGGCAAGTACCGTTCTCCTGGCAACCCGCCAAACCCAGACATGTCCATCGGATTGCCAGAGAAGCGTGATTGGTCACTCCAGAGAACACGTCTCCACTTCTCTAGAGTCCAGTGGCGGCGTGCTTAATACCGCTGCATCCGACGCTTTGCGTTGCACTTGGTGATGCAAGGCTTGGATGCAGCTGCTCGGCCATGGAAACCCATTCCATGAAGCTCTCTACGCACTGTTGTTGTGCCAATCTGAAGGCCACATGCAGTTTGGAGGTCTGTAGCTATTAACTCTGCAGACAGTTGGCGACTCCTGCGTCCTATGCGCTTTAGCATGCGCGGACCCCGTTCTGTCATTTTACGTGGCCTACCACTTCGTGGCTGAGTTGCTGTTGTTCCCAGTTGCTTCCACTTTGTTATAATACCGCTAACAGGTGACCGCGGAATATTTAGTAGCAAGGAAATGTCACGGATGGACTTATTGCACAGGTGACAACCTATTACGGTACCACGCTTGTAGTCACTGAGCTCCTGAGAGCGACCCATTCTTCCACAAATGTTTGTAGAAGCGTCTGCATGCCGAGGTGCGTGATTTTATACACCTGTGGCCATGGAGGGGATTGGAACACCTGAACCCAATGATTTGGAGGTGTCCCAATACTTTTGACAATATAGTGCATGTTGTCTGCACACCATTCGGCTTCAGAATATCTTTATTCACATTCCGTTAGCATGACATAGATGCAAGGTATTCGGAGCCTCCCAGGATCCCTTTGTCAGGCAAAGTGTCCAAAGCTCCCAAATAACTGCCCCCCAAATATCCAGCCTGCATACCTTGGGGGCGTTGTGTCCCACTGGAACGTGCGGCCCTCTGCGAGACTTCATTGCAAATCGCATGATCTGTCGCTTCACAAAGATGAACAAGAGGACGAAGACCTGCAGTAAGAAATGGAGATATTAGCGACAGCGGCCTTTCATGCCAGGGGCGACTGACAAATTAATGTTGTACATTTTTGGATAGAGCCCTTGTGATCCCAACAATGCCAATGTGGGAGGTCAAGTTCCAAACATACCTGGAACCCTTGTGACTAATACTCCCAAGGATCCCTCTTAGTCCTAAAACTGGGGTCCACCCCCATACAGCTCTCCAGGGGCCCATTTTGACACTCTCCAGTTGGGGAGCTGAAGTTCTAACACTCCTGAGGTCCCGGCAACATAGCACACCAGGAGCCCTCCTGATCCAACCAATCTCAATGATCGAGAGCAGTTTCTGGAACACCCACAATACCAAGGTTCTCCTATAACTGGAAGTGGGGGAGTTGTGGTTCTAATGTGTCAAGATAAAAACCCAGGAGTTCATGTGACCCAGCCAACGATCTCTCTAATTATTAGAGCAGCTCCAAACATACCCACAATACCAAGGTTCCCATGGCCCTCACACCCTAAAATCAGCATCCACTCATTCACCTCTCCAGGAACCCCTGTGGTCCTAGCAGTGTAAATGATCCCCCTAATGGGGGGTTGGCTGTGGTTCTAGTGTTTCAGGGGCTCCTGCAAAACACACCAAGAGTCCTTGTAACCCAGCCAATCACAGTGATCCGATTATTACAGCAGCTTCCAAAACCCTCACAATACCAGGGCCCTTTAACTGTGATGGGGAAGTGCTGTGGCCCTCACAACCATGGAACTCTAAAAAAAAAATCAGCATCACCTCATCGAGTCCTCGTGACCCAAACAATGTCAATGATCTCTGGAATTCCTGGAGCAGTTTCTGGAACCTCCACAATACCAAGGTCCTCCTTTAAGTGTAGACAGGGGTACTGTGTCCCTCACACCCAGTGGACCCTAAAATGAGCACCCCCTTCATATAGCTCTGCAGAATCCCCTGTGGCCATAATGTTCGGGGGGCCCCTCCTGACCCAAGTCATCACAACAATCATTACAACAGCCCCCCCCCCCCCCTCCAAA